TTCAAACCCCCCCCCCCCCCCCCCAGCTTTATAATTTATTGTTACATTATAACATTTTTTTTTTCTTTTAATTTCATATGGATGCGGACATATAACTTGTCCAGTGTTTAGTAGCAGTTTGTCTCATGTGGAAAGTTATTCCAAAGTCATACTTATTGCTTTTGTTTTTTGTTTTTAATCGCTGTAGAATACACAGACGAAACAGCTCTTATTCCTAAGAACTCATCTGTCATTGTGCGGAGAATTCCTATTGGTGGCGTGAGAACTACAACCAAAACATTTGTCGTGTAAGTTGTAATTTTTCACCATGTTGTTGCTTCTATATTGCAGTTTGTTACATAAGGAAATTTAGGAATGTGCCTTTGGTGACTGGTTAGTTTTTCAGATTTTGTCCTTAACTTGCTGTGAGAAATTGAAACATAGAATTGGGTTGCTTTTGGAAATAAAGTCCAATTAGCAATTAATGCAGATGTAATTTTTTACTTAAAAGTATAATCTGCTCCTATACTCTGCTCCTGTCATCCTATCACCTAATACCAGCTCTGTAATACTGATCCGGACTGTATTAGGTTCTCATCTGGAACAGAGCTGGGGAGGGGGTGATCATGTTGCTGGTAGGGCTTGTTCATACCAGTTTAGGGCTGCAACAACTAATCAACATTGATTATAATCGATTATTGAAAAAGTTGTCAACTTTTTCAATAATCGATTAATCGTCTTCCGATCAGTTGGCCCTGTTCACGGCTCCACACACACTGCGTGCCGCACCTCTTCCCCACCTCACGTTCGCCGCTGCCAGACCCGCTCGCCCGCATCCACGCTCTTCACGCTGCACCATCCGATTAATCGAACTTAATAATCGGCTAACCGATTTTGAAAATAATCGTTAGCTGCAGCTCTATACCAGTTAGTGTGTTCCAGAGCGGTTAGCTGCTGGAACACACTGTATCGGATCCTGGCCGGCTACCTGCATTCTGGCGAGGGAGGGGGCTTGGCGGTGCAGGAGCCAGCCAGGCTGTGGTACAGTGCGTTCCAGCAGCCAACTGCTCTGCAATGCACTGTAGCTAGTGTGAACAAGCCCTTACTACCAGGCCTTGGCAGTTAGTATCGGCTTTTGTTAACATATGAGATTATAGGACAGGGTAGTTGGGGGTGTAATAGAGTTTAGGTAAGGCCTCATTCACCCAGCATAGAGTGGGGCTGTGCAGATCCATGCGGCGTGCACAGCCACATCGGGCTGTTCCGCGAAAGGGCAGGTGCTGCGTGTGATTGTAAGCAGCAGCCTGTCCTTCCCTATGGGAGGATGCGGCCGTACGCTCCCCTGAGCTGCACATCCGTGCGGTTGTCAATGCTCGGACGCAGACAGGATCCATATTGTATCTGAATAGTTTTAGTTTTGCTCTTTAAACGCCAACTGATCATAGGTTGCTTAAGCAAATACTTGCGCTATCAGAAGCTTTATTCAGCTTGAATGGGACATGAATACAGACAGCAGCAAAAACCTCTCCTTCCTGGTGGAAGGGGGTCTGAAACGCAGTGAAATCACTGTACAGGGGAGATAGATTTTGCAAGTGGATAGTAATGAAAAACCTGACATGTTCTAACCCTTCCCTGCTCTTTAAAGAATAAAACAGAGTTTGATACACTATATATACACCCTTTTAGTGTGTATCTAGGGCTTTGAAATGGTAAAAAACTTGCCCTCTGCCAAAAAAATATAATTTAGTAAGGCCTATACTGGCAGTGCATATATCACATGGGTGATTTGGCCTGCATTCCATACAGGTAGTTCATATTGCTCAGTATGAATCTTGTAAAATGCTCAGCAATTGTATCTACTGTATATCTTTGTGTTTTAAAGTAATTTCACTAATTGCTTTTCTCTTTTCTGGTTTGCATTCTAGAAATCGTAATGAGCCAGTGAGTGGAACATCAAAAGCAGTATGTAAACCCACAATCACCCTTTTTCCTTATACTTCTTTACTCCAGCCTTTAAAGTGCAGGCACCCTCCTGCTTCTCTTTCTGTGTGGTTCTGTTTAAACTGTGAATTTGTTAATTTGCCAATGTATTTTGCACACTGGTAATGATGAGCACTTTGTGAAAGTGCACAATTCCCCTTGGCACTGTATTTCATATTGAATGCAATATTATATCCTGTTACACAGGACCTTGTACCGTCTGTATGAGCGGTCACTAGTGTGAACATGCTGTCATGTTCTGTTGTGTTTTGACTTTAAGATCTGTTTGTATAGGTCTTTTTGTATTGTTTCTTTACAATAAAGTATTACATGTGTCAGTTTTTATAAAACACATTATGAAATGGGGTTTGTTGACATTTATATCTGGCCTTATTTTACATATGTACTGATTTTATTATGAACTGCCTTTTTTCTATACCTGCAATTTCTTGCAGCATGCTTTGTAACTGTTGTTACATTATATTGTTGACTAATTACAGATTATCTGTTTTCAATGCACTTGTTCTCCACTGGGTTGTGGCCTCGCCTTATTGTCTGTCACATGTGATGTCTCAAAAGCATTGTAGCCAAGTCATTTTTACCCTACATAGGCAGTTACTGCTCTTTTGCTGTCCCCCAGGGTCTGGCACAGCAGAGCTATATATTGCATATTAATACAGGGCTAGACAAATCTCTAGAGTCACATAGTCATTGGAAGACTTTTCAGTCTCTTCAATTTAAAACATACAGAATAAAAACAAAGACTTGTACTCTGGAGTTAACATAAAGCAATGTTACCAGTCTTCCTAAGATTGATTGAGTCTCCTGGAAAATGTGCTGCTTAAAACTCCTTCAGTACTATGTGAAGGTTCTCATTCATCCAGGTCATGGTATATCTGTGAAAAGTAAGTCAAGGCAACTGGACTTGCTGCATATATGTACATCTTCAAGAAAAATACTGCAAGTCCAGTTGCCTTGACCTATTTTTTACAGATATCCTTCAGTACTAGTCACACATGCCCACACGGAGCCACAGGTCATGTGAGCTCTGCTGTAAGTAAGCAGATTGGCTTATCTTCAGCATGACCAAGTAGCTCCTTAGGCATGTGGTCAGCACTGAAGAGCGCCTGAAGCACCAACTTCCTTCTTTTCCTCTTTACCCATCCCAGCAAGACTGTTAACATAGTTCTATGTTAGTATTTGTTTATGGGTCCACTTTAAAAGGGGAGATCTGTTACAAAACTGTTCATTCTCAGTCTGCGAGCTCGGTCACACCAGCCCGCATGCTAAAATGCCTGTGGGCTGCTGGCTGTGGTGTATGTGGTGGTGCTTTGTGGTGTTACAACAAAGGGCAATCTGTTTGTTTTTAACTTTTAAAGTGTCACAAAATCAGACTTGAATTAAGTCTTCACAGCGTGGTGCGGCATCATGCGGTGTGGTAACTTGTGCTGCTTAAAAATGCAGCATGTCTGCGTGTTACACAATGCACTGAAGTACATCTCGGCTCAGAATTATGGTTTAAATGGGGCACATAGAAAACAGTTATTTGCTATGCACCCCAGCATTGAGCCTACGTTGATCTATGCAGCTTGACTGAAATGGTGTGATCGACCTCTCGGTGTTCACAGTAATGTTAGAGTAATCTATAATGCTGGTTGCAGCCATGTGCAAAAAGTATCTGCAGCATCTGAACATGGACTTGTGTCCAGAGCTTCATTTTTGTGCAGCTGTAAATAAGAGGTACCAAAACTGCCTATTACATGGCGTTATGTCAATCTGTCTTACATCACTGTGGAATTGTTCCACCCCTGTATTAATAGCGCTTTTAACAAGCATGCTGTCCTATTTTTGCAGTAAGTAAAACATTTGGGGTAGAACATCCCTGCTTCATGGAACAGTCCATAAACTGGTTTGAGTTTAGAAGAATGGGTACAGCTAGCGATGAACTCAAGTTGGGACTGAAAGCGATCTGATCCTGAGCTCTGCCAAACATGCATGGAAGCTCCTTCCGCTGCTGCCAAGTAATTCCCTGTCTCAATCTGCATTCTGCCGTTTTGCTTGCAGACAGTGATGTCATTGGTCAGATGGCTGTATTTGGTCAATGACTTTGAGCTAGTATGGCCATGTGGCCATATTAGGTCAATGATGTCAGCACAAGCATCCTGCCCCTTTTTTGTTTTTTAGTGCAGCTGCAGGACAGGGAATGCCCCAGTTACTACTGGCAATGGTTTAATCCGATTAACTGTTCAATTACAATTTCTGCCAGGACTTGCTTTGTAAGAGGAGGTGGAGGGTTTTAATCTGCCATTTCCTCTGTAGACACTAAGCTGTAGGTAGTAGATAAGCAGGTGGAAATGGTCAGAGACCATATCCGGGACGGGTGTAGAGGCGAAACAGTCAATACCTAAAGTACTTGTACCCTAGTTGATGGCAGTCTTGTGCAAGTGATCCGGCTACCATCAGTCGTTTTTCTGAACGATTGTTGTACGGAAATGCACACTTGCATTGGGCGGATTTATAAAGCAGCGAGGAGTGGCTCAAAAGCTCAAGCAACAGCATTTCTGGTTAGACATGCAAAGGCTTCTGGTCTAGCTGTATTTGGCATGGTCAGGTAAAGGATTCTGTCGTTTGTCTGAAATATTACTCCTCACATGATTCCAAACAGTTTTATTTTTTTCTGTACTACCTGCTTTAGTCTTTCATGACCAGAAATACCTTTTATGCCTAGATGCCCATGTTCAAATGCATTTATGGGCATATACTTTTATTTGGTAGTGTTTTAGGGCTCATTCAGCTCTTTGCTTTGAGGTAACCTGGCAAAACCTGTGTTGCGTTATTAGTTTTTAAAAAGCCTTGTTGTAGAAAGCAATGCACATGCTGTGCATTGCAGTGTTCTACTTCAAAGCGTCTGGTACTTTTTTTTTCCTGCATTAAGGTGTATTGCCAGCCCATTTAAAACAAATGAGTTGCTTGATGCAGCGATAACATTGGGGGGAATTTATGAAAACTGGAGCAGACAAAATCTGGAGCAGCTGTGCATGGCAACCAAATCAGCTTCTCTTTTATTTTTAAATCTTAAATGAACAAACTGAAGAGAGAAGCTGATTGGTTGCTATGCACAGCTGCTCCAGATTTTGTCTGTTCCAGTTTTGATTCCCCCCATTGTGTTTTACAAGTACCCAAATCGGATATTTTTTTAATTATAGATCGCCTTAACGGCTGTGGTGTGCTTACTTCTGTCGGAGTTCCTATATGTGGTCATAGAACTAGAAGCTGGCAATGATGATGGCTTCTAGTCCTGCCATTAGATGTTTAACCATGTAGCCTCAGTATTGTGCTACAGAATTTTAATAAACAGATTTTAGTGGGAATCAGTAAAACATGCAATTTGAATAGATGCATGCTTGACAAAACTGAATAAGCGCTGGGCTGACATGCTGGTTTGCTTATGGCTTCTAACAGCCATTTTAGAAGGCCTGTTTGCTCTGAAATGTAGAGCAAACAGACGGAACATTTGAGTTCCACCTGCCGCTTCAGAGGGATGGTCACAATTTGGAGCAAGCTGTAGAATAAATAGGCAACCCCTGTATTGCAATACAGGACTGCTGTTCGTTCTTTTTTTTTCTAATTTACAGAATTGTTTTTTTAAACCAATCCTTTCTACATATTAGAACTGTGTGTTGCGAGGTCTTCACGCTTATGGTAAATACCCGCACCTTAAGTTCTGTACTGTATTTAGAAACAGTGACAAGAATTGTTAACAATGACAGTCAACAGTTTTGAGAAGCCTTCTCAACAAAGTATAAGTGGAAACAATTCTTGCCATATCCTCGACCCATACTGACTGTGTGTGACTTGTCTGTGGTCATGCCTGTAGTTTATCAGATCTGTATGCTCTTGCTTCAAGTCATGAAGCAGATCAGTTGCAAAACACAAGCGCCTGTCCACTTGTTGGACCTGCGTAACATTCTAAAAAGTGCCTGCTTCTTTCAGATGTATTTTGTCAGTGCCCACCTGCTCCGCAGTGTTAATTGCTGGTACTCTGATCTTTACAAATTTGGTACATTTGTAATCATGTCAATGTGTTTAAAGCTGATTGCTAGTGTGTTTCACTAACTGGTTTAATGTCCACAGTGATGCAAGGTTTTGTTCATGATGTAGAAATAAGCAAATCATTTGCTGTATTATTTGATCCCAGGTTAAGTATCAATTTTAACATGTTGAGTGGCATATTGTAATTGTTGTGCTAGTCTTTAAACGTTTCTTGCAATAATTTGCATTTTCATTTGTTTTTATAACATGTGTATACAATGAGTCACATGTTTTTGAAATAAAATTTAACTTTATTTTAGCAGTTTGTGTTCTTGGAATGTCTATTGCATTTAAATGTAACTAAGCCCTATTGATGTACTTGCAGCTGGGAACTGTTATTCAATTGCTCAATGTCCGTTCTTTTTACTGGATGCCACAAGCTTTCCATAGGGAAAATTTACTTTAAAAGTTGCTATTTTCTAGTAGTATGATTGAAAAATTAGGTCTCCTAATCTCAGCCGGAACCTCCTTTTAAGGCTGGCTCTTCACACTTTGTGCGGTTCTTTGTGGTTCCATTTATTTACAATGGAACCTTAAAGTGACCCTAACCTCAGGAGTTAAATCTTAAAAATACATTCTAGTACCTTACCTTAACTATAACTATTCACAAGTGTATTTTCTTTGTGTATCACTCGGCTGTGGATCCTCAAATCATCTCTGAATTCATGCTGACACTGTCCTTCCTTCTGGAGGGTGGCTACTTTGGTTGTAAAGTAGTCACCGCTCCAAGCTCGCTCCTGTGATGGACTACAATCTCATGTTTAGTTTTCTAATTTGTATTGATATTGTAGTCTATCACAGGAATGAGCTTGGAGCAGAGGCTACTTTACAACACACACAGGGACCATGGAGAACACAAGCAGCCCCCCTCCAGAAGGAAGGACAGTGTCCGCACCAATTCAGAGGTGATTTGAGGATCTACAGCCGAGTGATACACAAATAAGATACATTTTTGTTAATAGTTAAGATTCTTGAATGCATCTTGAAGATTCTACTCCTGAGTTTAGTGTCACTTTAATGCACTGTTTCCTGCAGTGCGCCACAATGCCTTGCATTGCATTGTGCTGTGTTATTAAAAAAAAATGCAGTTCTTTTTTCATCTTACTGTGCCTTTGCAGCCTGTACGAAAACACAAAACATGTCATTAGGCCAGGGGTCTTTAATCTCAACCCTCTTAAGTGTGTAATTGTTTAATTTTCTTTTATCTTGCTGAACTATGTAAACCCCTTCACATTTAATCTATTTTGTTTCTTCATGATCAGAGTTTTCCCTGTTTAAAAGGCTTTAAATT